TCGCCATGTAGGATTGAGTGAGACTTAAATAAAATGGTAATGGCATGCCCAGGCTGGGGGTGGGGGGAGGGCGGGGAGGAGGCCTCGTCAGTGTCCCTGCAGGCCGGGGGCTGTGGTAGAGGAAAAACAGGCTCCTGTAAGAGCTCAAAGCAGGCATCGAACAACACCTCCTCCAGGCAGCCCTTAAACCAGCCAGTCAGGAGCGGCACTATAGGCAGAGGAAGGAGGGGGAGCAAGGCAAGGGGCAGAAAGACTGGGGACAGGACTGGAGCAAGCGTTTGCAGCTGATTGAAGTTACAGGGGAGGCAGGGGCTGCATTCCAGGGGTCAGCACGTCCGTAGGTCCCATTCTAAAATAAATAAAGGGGCAGTCAAAAAAAAAAAAAAAAAAAAAACATGCATGGGAAGCACTGGATAAAACAAAGCCAAGCAGTTGAAAGTCAGGATACGGGAGTCAGAACCCCAGCTCCATCACTCAGTGGTTGTGTGATCCCGGGCAAATTCCGTGACTGCTCTATAAAATGGCGATGACACAACTGTACCCAGTGATGACACAACCATACCCAGTGATGACACAGCTGTACCCAGTGATGACACAACCGTACCCAGTGATGACACAACTGTACCCAGTGATGACACAGCTGTACCCAGTGATGACACAACCGTACCCAGTGATGACACAACCGTACCCAGCGATGATACAGCTGTACCCAGTGATGACACAACTGTACCCAGTGATGACACAACTGTACCTAGTGATGATACAGCTGTACCCAGTGATGATACAACTGTACCCAGTGATGATACAGCTGTACCTAGTGATGCTACAACTGTACCCAGTGATGATACAACTGTCCCGAGTTCATAGGTTGATGGGGTCAAATATGGTGACGCAAGCACAGTGCTTAGAGCAAGGCTGGCTTTGGCAGATATTCCGGTACCCAGCAGAGCTTTTCCCGTAGCAGCACAGGTTGGAAGAAGTCTTGGGATGGGGGTGGGAGTGGGTTCCCACTCCACTTTTGGAGCGGAGAATTCTGTGGGTCTGGTGTTTGAGGAACACATTTTGGAAACCCCATGGCATTGTGGGCATTGTGGTGCAGCAGCTTAAGCCACCACTTGCGAGGCCCGCATCCCACATCAGATTGAGTCTCGGCTTCTCTGCTCCCCATCCAGCTCCCTGCTAATGCGCCTTAGAGGCAGCAGGCGATGGCTCAAGTGCTTGGGTTCCTGCCACCCGTGTGGGAGACCCAGCTGGAGTTCTGGGCGCCTGGCTTTGGCTGTTGTAAGCATTTGAGGAATGAACCAGCAGAGGGAAGTGTGCTCCCTCTCTCTCTCTCTCTCTGCCTTTCAAACAAATAAACAAATCTTAAAACAAAACAAAAACAAAAAACAAGAAAACTCCAGCCTCCAGGGTTGAGCCTGTGCTCCTTAACAAGGCCTTTGAGGCCCTCAGTGCGAAGTTTTGCTCAGTTCTGCCTGCCTCCTGCTCGCCACACTCCCGGCCTTGGCAACTAAGCAACTGCAAGTTCCTGAGATGTCGCCTCCTCGCTCAGGCTGCTGCCCGTCCCTCCGTCCATGCTGCCTCCTCGGCCAGGGAGCTCCTCCTCTGGCACTGACAGCCCAGGGTCAGTACCCCCTCTTCAGTGAAGCCTTCCCTGACTACCCCTAATACCACACTGATTCAGGACCAGTGGAGGTGCCAACTCCACCCACAGAGGGGGGTGTAGGGGGGCTTCCCGGCGGAGGGGTCAGTAACCGGAGGAGCGGCACAGGCCGGAGGCGGGCGAGCACAGCCCTCTGGAAACCAGCCAGGGCTGCAGGGGCCGGAGCGAGGCCTCACCCCGCCTGCGGCCTGTCAAGATGAGTTTAGGCTGAGCTCTCCGTGGTGATGACAGCGCTGGGCTGCTGGCTGCTTTCCAGAGACAAAGCAGAGACGCCGCCATCTCCCTGCCACACCCCGGCTCGCGCAAGGCCGGCCCTTCCGGGAAGGTTCGCGGTGGGCAGCCAGGCCGGCCGGGTGCGGATTCCTGCGAGCCTGAGTCACCGGGCCGCGGCTGACCTGGCCTGCGTCGGCTCAGAGGACGGGGAGAGCGACTCCAGCCTCGCACACACCACCCTGCTGCCTCCCCTTCCATCCCCTCCTGTCTAGATTTGTCACTGACGGAAATCAGGCTGCTCAGGCCTGAACCGCTGGACTTGCGGCGAGCCAGGCTCTGATGGGTACACGGATGCTGTCGCCAGCCCGTCCAGAAAGGGCCACGCAGCAGAGGAGCCGGCGGGCCCCTGGGCCGCTGCACAAGCCTTCCCTGGTCAGCCGAGCGCCCGGGTACGGGGTTAAGGGCACAGGTGCTGGATCGGGACAGCACTGTAGTAGTGCTTGTCGCACTGTTTACATCCATTAAATTAAACACAGCGTGCAGTTCAGCTCCTAGCCACACTTCAAAGCTCAAGAGCACACAGGGCGAGTGGCTACCGCACCCATGCAGTCACAGGCACATTGTTCTATGGAATGTTCTGTGGTCAGTCTGAGTCAGATTCAAATCTCAGCTCAGGGCCGTTTTTCCCAAGCTATGGAGCGTCTCTACATCTATGCAAGCCCGCGTGGCAGCCCATCTCCTCTCGTTTGAACTGAATACTCGAGCAAAGTATAAAGTTAAAACCCCCAGCAAGTTCAAATTAAACTTTGTATTGGCTGGGACTCTTGTCCCAAGTAACAGGAAATGAAATCAAGCTGGCTTAGTTTTTTTTTTTTTTTTTTTAAAGGGGGAATTTATAAACAGTGCTGACTACATAATTTGTGGGACTTGGTGCCAAGTGAACGTATGCAGACACCCCTGGGTGTCTGTTCAAAAAGCAGGCAAAGAGTGCAGTAAAAGCCACACAGAGTGATGGCCTTTCCCTCTCTTTGCTGTCTCTTCTGCTCGTGGTGGCTTTGATTTGCTATTTAATGTCACTCTTCAGTAAATAGAAATTAACATTGTAAGTGATCAGCATGCATTTTGCTGGTCATCTTTATATTGTACATTGCCCATTTTAAATGCAATGAGAGCATTTAACTCATATGCGAGATCACCAGAATCATACAGCGTGTCTACGCGGCTCACTCACAGCTAGCAAGTTCATTCTCACCGGGACAGGGGGGATGGTGCACAAGGCCAGCGCCGCTGCATTCTGGTCAGCGCTCTGTCCTTTGGCTCACGCACTGGAGGGAGAAGGAACCCGGGGTCCCCCCTCTCTCCCCTTCCTTCCACGGCATCATTTTCAGTGTTGCTGGCTGACCAGTGCCGGCAGCTTGCACAGTAAGAAAGCAAACAGTAACGCTCCCTGGTCCTCTGTGCCTCGCAGAATGCCATTTGTCCCTTCTGTGTTCTAGCGGGTTCTGGTTTGAGGACAGCACGGCTTTTCATGGCTGTCAGGGCCTCTGCTTGCCCAGTTGTGGACGTAACACGCTCACCTTGAACTTTCTTTGAGTCATGACAAACCCCATGTGTCACTGGTATGCCATCATGCTGCGTCTCCAGGCGGGACACCACTTACACCACATGAGTAGGGACTGGGAAGGACCATGGGGAACACGTGTGTCACATGTGTCTTTTCTGCTCTCGTGCAGGCTGCGTGTCCCGTCACACTTTGCTTGTAAAACACAAGTACAAAGGTAATATTATTAATTATTTACAGATGGTGACAGCAGAGCATTAAGCCAAGTGTGGGGGCTGTTCCAGCCTCGGACACGGGCTCATCAAACCAGCCCTGTTTATGAGACTGAGTGAGGCTGGGACAGAGTGCGGGGCGAGCACGGAGCCACGACGGCCATCTGAGTGCCGCGCTTGGTTGTGAGCAGAGTTCCCTCCCTCTCCCCAGCTCTCCTTTCTGCGTGGCTGGCTCGTTCAGCCATTCTTCACTCAACACGGATATGCCGAGAGGTGGTTTACGGTCATGATTAAGAGCTCAGACGGTGGGTGTGGAGGTGGGGAGCAGTGCTGTGGCGTAGTAGGTTGAGCCTCCGCCTGTAGCATTGGCACAGTTCGAGTCCTGGCTGCTCCACTTCCGATCCATCTCCCGGCTGATGGCCTGGGAAAGTGGTGGAGGATGGCCCAAGTCCTTGGGCCCCTGCACCCACATGGAGACCCGGAGGAAGCTCCTGGCTCCTGACTTTGGATCTGTCCAGCTCCAGCCATTGCGGCCACTTGGGGAGTGAAACAACGGATGGAAGACCTCTCTCTCTTTCTTTCTCTCTCCCTCCTTCTCTCTCTCTCTCTCTCTCTGTAACTCTGCCTCTCAAATAAATAAATAAATCTTTAAAAAATAAGAGTTCAGATGCTATGACAATGACTTGTGTTTGAACCTGGCTCCTGCGCCAAATATCTGTGTAACTTCAGGCAGGTTATGCTGGGCCTTGGTTTTTGTTGTCTTACATGGAGTGTGGGGAAGCCCTCTTCCCCACAGGGCTGTCATGAAGAGTGGGTGGATTACATCTGTGATGCCTAGGATGGATGTCTGGTCCTAATAAGCAACCTCTGTCTGCATGTTACCACGGCCAAGTGTAGTCCAGACCCTGGGGTACAGCAACAGAAAGAGACAACAACCCCAGCTGTCACAGAGCTCCAGGTGCTGGGAACATTTCCACTACTGCTCTGTCACCAGCAGCTGTCTCACTTTCATTCCACAATTCTCAGAGAAGATTCTGATTGGCCCAGCTTAGGCTGTGGCCAGTAGAGGTAGAGCTGCAACGTTTTCATTTTATTTGATTAATTTTAAGTTGCAGCATTTTTAATCGCTGCTTCTTTGGTACTGGTAGATGTGTGTAGTAGCAACTAGAAACCTAGATGCACTGGGTAGGCCCAGCCAAACATCTGTCCATTGTCAGCGCAGGGCAGGGCTCACTAGTTAGGGGCGCCTTTTTCTCTTGTGTGAAGTGCCCAACATCTCTCTCCTCTCTAGCAAGCTGCCCTGGAACTCAGAATGGGCTCCTTGTTGCTTGGTTCTCTGAAGCCTGCCTCTCCCCTTTCTGGCAGCAGGTGCCTGAGGCCCCACCCACCGTGGGCACAGGACAGGCTCTGGTCCAGCTAATTTGCCACTGCTTCTCAGCCATGCGTCTCACTGGGCCACTCAGCTGCCAATCAAGGGCTCAAAAGCCAGGCATGAAGGCCCCAGGGAATCCTAGATGTACCCCTGTCTGCTGAGGCCCACTTAAGGAAAGGAGCCTAGGCAGGGTAACCTGGAAATCCGCTCCCAAGTGCAGAGCAGAGCTGTCTGTCCCCTCCCTAATCCTGGAACTGCTCCTCAAAGAATCGGGCCCTGGGGACCATTCCTTCGTAGTCTGTCTCCTTTAAGATGAGGAATAGGGTATTTCACAAAGGTGGGAGGAAATGGAATTACAGATAACTATATTTTGGTGCAAACAAGTTTGAAATCCATGTATGCAAGTGTGCTTCCACCTCCTAACCATCCCGGGTCTCCATGTGGCCCCTGTGCCCCTCGGGCCCAGGCTCTCGCCACCTGTTGTCTCTGGCTGCCTTTGGGAAGGTGCTGAGGTCAGTGGCTGCTGAGTAGGGGAAGCTGGGGCACACAGGAAAGCTCTCTGCAGAGCTACAGTGGCCAGTGACAGGGGAAAGACTGGTCCTGAGGGGCCAGCATTGTGGTGTGGCAGGTAAAGCCTCTGTCTGTGATGCTGGTATCCCCTGTGGGTACTGATTCAAGTCCCAGCTGCTCCACTTCTGATCCAGCTCCCTGCTAATGCACCTGGGAAAGCAGCAGAAGATGGCCCAAGTGCTTGGGCCCCTAAAGCCACATGGGAGACCTGGTAGAAGCTCCTGGCTCCTGGTTTCAGCCTGGCCCAGGCCCAGCAGATAGATCGATTGATCTCTCTCTCTCTCTCTATGTCTCTTTGTCCTCTCTAACTCTGACTTTCCAATAAATAAATAATAAATAATCAATAAAGATAGAAAGGCTGATCTTGGGGAGTTGGGGCCGTAGTGGACAGAAATCGGGCAGTGGACTCAGCTCTGCCTCCAGAAAGAGTAAGTATGAGACTGGACCAAAGCACTGGACGCCCAGGAGGGGCAGCACAGGTCAGGAGCCTTAGTGCACTGTCCCCCGCATGGAGTGCTCCCAGGCTTTCTCCACCCAGGGATGCTCCTTCAGGAAGCTGTGGCAAGGCTGCACGGCCGAAAAGCAGGCGGTCACGAGCATGAATTCCAACATTGTTTACACCAAAATGCACGAATCTTCTCATCCTGTTTTTCCACGAGCTTTTTGGAGCACCCTTATAATGTACACATCACCCAATTCACTCAGTTTAAATGTACAAGGCAGTATTTTTTTTTTTTTTTAAAGTAAATTTGCAGAGCTGCGCAATTGCCACGACAATCCAATTTTGGGACGGTTCCGTCTCCCCGGCAGACGCCTCCCAGCCCATCCCCACCTCCATTCCCCGTCGCCACAGACCGGTTTTCCTGAGTGTTTCACACCAATGGAATCACGCGGAACGTGGGCTTTGTTTTCCACGTGGCTGCTCTCATGCAGCGTGTTTGGGGTGTGCCTCAGCAGCTCGCTCCGCTCACTACTGAATACGGTGGTGCACAGGAGAACCACGGCCCGGCGCTTCCAGTTGCATTGCTTCCACTTCTCGCCTTTTCTGAACAGCGCCACTACGAATGTTCGTGTCCATGTTGCTCTGCCCGTGAGTCAAATTACTAGGTCATTGGAGAAAAGTATATTTAGCTTTTTTTTTAAAAAGAATTATTTGAGTTATTTGAAAGACAGAGTTACAGAGAGAGGTAGAGACAGAGAAGGAGAGGTCCTCCATTCCGCTGGTTCACTCCCCAGATGGCTGCAATGGCCAGAGCTGAGCTGTTCCAAAGCCAGGAGCCAGGAGCTTCTTCCAAGTCGCCTACATGAGTGCAGGGGCCCAAGGACTTGAGCCATCTTCTGCTGCTTTCCTGGGCCATAGCAGAGAGCTGGATTGGAAGAGGAGCAGCGGGGATTCAAACAGGCGCCCATATGGGATGCCAGTGCTGCATGCTGGGGCTTTAACCCACTGTGCCACAACGCCAGCCTCTGTTTAGCTTTTTTTCTTTTTAAAGATTTTATTTATTTCAGAGGCAGATTTACAGAGAACCAGCAGAGAGAGAGAGCACCCGTTTGAGTCCCAGCTGCTCCTTTTCCAATCCAGCTCTCTGCTAATGGCCTGGGAAAAGCAGCGGAAGATGGCCTATGTGTTTTGGCCGTTGACAGCCACATGGAAAATCTGAATGAAGCTCCTGGCTCCTGGCTTCAGCCTGGCACAGTGCTGGCCACTGTAGCCATCTGGGGAAGTGAATCAGCGGATGGAAGCTCTCTCTCTGTCTCTCCCTGTGTCTTTGTAACTCTGACTTTTAAATAAACAAATGAATCTTTTTAAAAGTAAATCTTTAACCCCCCCCCCACTCTCTCTCTTTGTCTGAAATACTGTCTGTCAAATGAATAAATAAGGATTTAAAAAAAAGAGGGCGGAGGCACTGTGGCATAGCAGGTAAAGCCACTGCCTGCAGCATCAGCATCCCATATGGGCGCCAGTTCAAGTCCCAGCTGCTCCACTTCTGATCCAGCTCTCTGCTGTGGCCTGGGAAAGCAGCAGAAGATGGTCCAAGTCCTTGGGCCCCAGCACCCACACCAGAGACCTGGAAGAAACTCCTGGCTCCTGGCTTTGGATCAGCGCAGCTCCAGCCATTGCTGCCATTTGGGGAGTGAACCGGTGGATAGAATATCTCTCTTCTATCTTCTCTGTCTGTCTCTCTCTCCATCTTTCTCTGTGTCTCTCTGTAATGCTGACTTTCAAATAAACAAATATATCATAAATTTTTTTTTCTGTTCTGTCTCCCCCTCGCTGTTTGTAACTCTGCCTCTCAAATAAATAAATAAAATCTTAAAAAAATTTTTTTTTGGTCTGCTTGATCTCACTGGTTAGGCCGGCTAGAATCTACCACTTCGATAGTGGCTTCTTTTTCTCCCTGGAGTCCTCATAACTTGTGATGTGTGTGTTTCAGGCCTGTGTTTCCTGTTTCCTACAAGTCATGTTACCACTACGCGGTGAGCCTTCTTACCCTTGCGATCTTCCTGACATCACCGTGTTCCAGGGAGAACATCCAGGCACTGCGCACTGGCAAGGCTTGACCTGGTGGGGTCGCGGACGGCCACGGAAGCTGAGCGCCGCAGCACCTCGCCCTCCCAGCCCGGGGCGGGTCCTCCCACGCACCTCTCATCTGAAGACGTGCTGACTCGGCGGCCGCTCTCCTCCGGGATGCTGCAGAACAACAACGATCTCGAGCAGGCTATTCAGGTCATTAGCTATTTGATAAAAGGAAGAAAAACAACAGAGAAAGAAGGCTCTCCTACCGAGGCGAGACAGAGCTAGGGAATGACAGTTTGCCAAGAGAAGTGGAACGCTAGGTTCTAGACTGTTTCCAAGGTCCCCTGCGCCACACACGTGTGATGGAAGCCTCTGCTTCTCCTGCAGTCGGCCTGGGCTCGGCAGGGAGGCACCACAGCCGGGTTCTAAGAACGAAGCTGCTGGACGCTGCACGAGGCAGGTCGATGGGGTGAGACCCTGTCCCCAAACCTGCTCACCCTGTTCGGCACCTGTTCTGTGCGCAGTCCTTGGCAGAGTAGATTTCACCCCAGCCCCGTGAGGAAGGGTTCGGCATCAGCATCATCATTTTACAGAAGAGAACACTTCAGCCTAAATAAAGTCGGTTTTCCCACAGGTACTCACCTAGGAAGCGAAGCAGGGTTGGGATCCAGTTCTTCTTACCCTGCTTGTTTGCAGGAAGGACCAGAGAACTTGACTTCAACTCTGGCTCTTGCTTTCGGCATTGGCCCAGCCTCAGCTGTCACTGTTGGGGAGTGGACCAAGGGAGGGGAGCTCTTAGTGTGGTTGTGACTGTCTCTGCCTTTCAAATAAAGGAATAATTTTAAAAATTAGATAAATAAAAGTAAAACTAGAGTGCAGACCTGTCATTGTCTAAGACAGGAGGAACTCTGAGTAAATCTTTGTTACCAGCATTTGCCAAAAAGGCGTGGTAAGGATACATAGGAAACCAAGACAGATGTGTACAGGTTGGACTAGAGCTGCAGTTCTCAAACTTCAGAGGGAATTGGCATCACCTGTAGGGTTTGTTAAGCCAGGAATTGCTGGGGCAGGCACTGGGGAGTGGCAGGCCACACTGCTGCTCGGAATGTCCACTTCCCGTCTCAGAGTGCCCGCTCCAAGTCCAGGCTACTCGGCACTTCTTCTTCTTCTTCTTCTTCTTCTTCTTCTTCTTCTTCTTCTTCTTCTTCTTCTTCTTCTTCTTCTTCTTCTTCTTCTTCTTCTTCTTCTTCTTCTTCTTCTTCTTCTTCTTCTTCTTCTTCTTCTTCTTCTTCTTCTTCTTCTTCTTCTTCTTCTTCTTCTTCTTCTTCTTCTTCTTCTTCTTCTTCGACAGGCAGAGTTAGACAGTGAGAGAGAGAGACAGAGAGAAAGGTCTTCCTTCCGTTGGTTCACCCTCCAAATGGCCGCTATGGCTGGCACACTGCGCCAATCCGAAGCCAGGAGCCAGGTGCTTCCTCCTGGTCTCCCATGCAGGTGCAGGGCCCAAGCACTTGGGCCATCCTCCACTGCCCTCCCGGGCCACAGCAGAGAGCTGGACTGGAAGAGGGGCAACCGGGACAGAATCTGGCGCCCCGACTGGGACTAGAATCCGGGGTGCTGGCGCCGCAGGCGGAGGATTAGCCTAGTGAGCCGCAGCGCTGGCTAACTCGGCACTTCTAATCAGGCTTCCTGCTGATGCACTTGGGAGGCTGTGGAAGATGGCTAAGTGCTTGGGCCCCTGCCACCCAGGTGGGAGACCCAAATGGAGTTCCTGGCTTTGGCATGGCCTAGCCCGGGCTACTGAGAGGATCTGAAGAGTGAACCAGTGATGACGATCTCTCTTTCATCTCTCTGTCACATTACCTTCCAAACAAATCTTTAATAAAATGCACGTGAATTGCTGGCTCCCGCCCCTACAGCTTCTGATTTAGCAGGTCTGGGTGGAGCCCCCAAATTTGCATTTTTAACCAGCTCCCAGGGAGCTACCAGTCATGAGACCACACTTGGGCCAGAAAATGGGGCAGGGTTAGCGGCTGGAGCAGGTCTTCTTAGGGCACATCTTCCTGTCATTCTTTTTCTCCTTGCTTGGCCTGCAGATCCTGAAGCCTCACTGAAAAGACACCTCAACGGCCACGCCCCTTTCAGGTAAGGACCGATACAGGTGCTGGATGCTGGAACACAATTCACACTGGTGTCAGCCTTCAGGTCTCCGTGTAGGAGTTCCCCATTGTGGGGCCTTCACTCTGCGGTGAAGTCACCAGGCCCCGGGCCCAGGTGATGCTGAGCTGCACTGTGCGACACCACCAGAAGGAAAGAGATGGGGTGTGGGAGTCACCGAGCCCGCATCCAACCCCATGAGCCGCTCACCTGTTCTGAGCTCCTCTGTCTCTGGGCCTCAGTTTCCCTGCTTGCAGAACAGGGATGCTAATGCCTGTCTCTTGGGGCTGCTGGGAGAATCGGTACCTTCAACGTGCACAGCACACAGCACCGAGCGAACGTGTTTCTTGACTTCTCGGTTTAGTGATTGCATCAGTTGTTTTCATAATCGGCTCCCCCCACCCTTGATTTATTAAGTAATTGTCCCAAAAGTTTATAACAGGTCATGGATTGGTGGCCCGCACCCTTGTTTTGATTGGCACTCAAAGTGATTAACAAAAACCTAATTTAGTTGCCAACATTTAAAAAGTAGGAATCTTACATAAAAATCTGGATTTGTGGCTTCATTGGAAACATCTGCATGACCACAACCGCTGGGGCTGAGAGTCAGCTGCTTGTTCCTGCTCACAGCCCTGCCCACCCCGCCCGCTGCCGGCCACCTGGTCTCCCTGGGGTCCCTGAACGGCGGGCGGCTGGAGGCTGGAAGGCGCTAAGAAAGGCTCCCTGTTGGTCAGGTACGTTCACCTGCTTTGTCTCACGTGAGCCCCACCCAGGAGGGAGGTGCAGTATTGTCCCCATGTACAGGTGGAGACACTGACACTGAGCGGCCCGCGTTACTCAGGGTTGAGAGTGACAGCCGTGGCCACAGACCACCAGCAGTCCCTGGGGACTCCCAGGTGCTAGGCGTTATTCCCGTGTCCCCATGAATTTAGCCATCACCATGATTTTATTACATATTTTCATTTTCTGTACTTTAAAGATGAAGAAATTGAGGTAGAGAGGAGGCAAGCCACTTCCCCACGGTCACACGGCTGGAAGGTCCCAAGTAAGGGGGCCAGCGCTGTGGCGTAGCTGGTAAAGCAGTGCTGGCATCCCAAAGGGGAGCTGGTTCGAATCTCGGCTGCTTCACTTCCAATGCCGCTCCCTGCTAATGTGTCTGGCAAAGCATCAGAAGATGGCTCAAGTGCTTGGGCCCCTGCACCCGCGTGGGAGACTCAGAAGAAGCTCCTGGCTCCTGGCTTTGGCCTGGCCCAGCCCTGGCCATTGTGGTCGTTTGGGAGTGAACCAGCAGACAGAAGAGCTCTCTGTCTCTCTGTCTCCCCCCCTCTCTCTGTAATTCTGCCTTTCAAATAAATAAAATAAATATTGAAAGGAAGGAAGGAGGGAGGGAGGGAGGAAGGGAGAGAAGGAAGGAAGGGAGTGAGTTAGTTCCAAGTAAACCCAAGCCTTCTGAACCCTCATCTGCCTGTGTTCCACTTGGCTGCAGCACGGTCTCTCCTCTGTCTGGTCGAACAGGTTGGGCTTACTGCTCACTTTAGTGAATGAGCACGCGCACCTTGAGAGCCTGGGAACCCTGAGAGATCTCAGCAATCGGGTGCTGGGAAAGAACTTCCAGGACTGAGGTTGGGGGCATTTTGCCTGGGATTTAAGGAAGCAGGTGTTGTTTTGTTTTGTTTTCTTGATTGGTTACTGACAGGAGACAGGGATAATTCCATGAGGGGACTTTCTTTTTAAAAAAAAAAGATTTATTTTATTTATTTGAAAGGCAGAGTTAGAGAGAAGGAAAGACACACACACACACACACACACACACACACACACACACGGGATATCTTCCATCCTCTGGTTCACTCCCCAGATGGCCACAAATGGCCAGGGCTGGGGCCAGGCTGAAGCCAGGAGCCAGGAGCTTCACCTGGGTCTCCTATGAGGGTGCAGGAGCCCAAGCACTTGGGCCATCTCCCACTGCTTTCCCAGGACATTAGCAGAGAGCTGGATTGGAAGTAGAGCAACTGGGACACAAACTGGCACAGGTGGCAGCTTAACATGCTATGCTGGGGCCAGCACTGTGATGTAGCAGGTTAAGTCCCCGTCTGCAGTGCCAACATCCCATATGGGCGGAAGAAGCTCCTGGTTCCTGGCTTCGGATTGGCCCAGCTCCTGGGAGCTCCGTTGCGGCCATTTAGGGAGTAAACCAGCAGATGGAAGACCTCTCTCTCTCTCTTCTCTCTCTGCCTCTGCCTCTCTGTAGCTCTGCCTTTCAAATACATAAAATAAATATCTTTAAAAAAAAAAGGTGCTACACCACAGTACCCACACCACGAGGGGACATTCTTAGTCCGTCCCCTGGGCGAGCCAGGAAGACTAGATCGGGGCTCAAACAGTCCCCGTCTAGCAGTGCGGTCACTCAGGTGAACCAGGATGAGGGAGGTTTGGTGTCTGTGTGACTTGCACAGTGTTTTCAGGGAAAACAATCCCAAACTCAGACCACAGTTAGCACGGAAGACGTCTGGGACCCGCAGAGGTGCGGGATTTCTCCCCCCACCCTCAGCCCGTAAGTGATCATTTCGGTAGCAGACAGCTGCTGTGCCCGGGGCCCAGGTATCCTAATCTTTGTCCAGGTTCTGGGCCCCACAGAGATAAGAGCCCTAAACAGAGGCGTCCATAATAGTACACAAGCGAGAACAGGATTTACTGAAAAGGGTGAATACACATTCACACCCAAGTCTGGGCCTCGCCTGTCATGAGTGGGCCAGAGTTCCCGATGAGGAAGGGAGGGACAGGAGGCCTGAGAAGGAGGCTAAGCCTGGCCCACGGCAAAAGGGGATCCCTCTCTTTTATGAGGTGGGGGCTGTGCCTTAGGTGAATAAACAAACAAGGTGGGGTCTGAGCATGCGTGGAGCTTTCATGCATCTGTTGTGCCTTTTATATATAGTACATGTATGTTATATGTGCAAGTGCTGTATAGACATGTATCTATTGTGTGTGTGCTGTGTATATAAGTGCATGAGTTGTATACACATGCATCTTTGTGTCGTGTGTGTTGCATGCTTACCTGTGTGAATGTTGTATTGTGCAACATTGTTGTATGTATGCATGTGCATGTTATTGTGCAACATGTATGCATGCATGTGTGTTGTTGTACAAGTATGTACATGTATGTATGTGTTGTGTGTGTATCGCAATACCACTGTGACATGGTTTTTGTCAGTACTCACGGGAGTTTGCTGAGCAGTCTTGCTTTTGTCTCACTTGATCAGCTGTAGAGTGGCCTGTGTGACACTGGCACTCCTTGCAGCCACGCTGTACAGGGGAACACGGAGGCCCAGCTGTGTGAGGTGCTTTCCGATGTCACCGTCTGTTTTCCTCTCAGAAGTGACTGGTGCTGGAGTCCAGCGTGAGCACAGCAAGAAGTGAAAGTTTTTCCACCCCCCGCCCGTGCTGGATTTGTGTTCGTGGCCACAGAACCAAGATTGTGGGGGCCCAGGTAGATGGGCAGCCTTCTAGAAGCCAGTTCCCTGACGTCCTTATTTGTCCAGGAATTGATTATTCTCAGCTAAGTTTCAAACGGACGATGCACATCTTTCGTATCCTGAGTGGTGGGACTGCCCAGTCCTCAAAGGCCGGGCTCAAAAGTCCACCTGCATTTGAGATTTTCTTTTATTCTTTTCCTTTTTAAAAAAAAAATTTATTTATTGGAGAGACAGAATTACAGACAGAGAGAGAGAGACAGAGATAGAGGTCTTCTATCCGCTGGTTCTCTCCTCAAATGGCCACAATAGCTGGAGCTGGGCAGATCTGAAGCCAGGAGCCAGGCGCCAGGAGCCAGGAGCTTCCTCTGGGTCTCCCACGTGGGTGCAGGGGCCTAAGCACTTGGGCCATCCTCCACTGCTTTCCCAGGCGACAGCAGAGACCTGGATCGGAAGAGGAGCAGCCGGGATGCGAACCGGTGCCCATATGGGATGCCAGCACTGCAGGCAAAGGCTTAGCCTGCTGCACCATAGTGCCAGCCCCTCAAGTTTTTTTAAAACACAGCTGAATGGTTGCTGGAAGGCCTTATGACCCATATCCCAGCATCCTCTGGGCTCCCATAGCACCCTTGTATGCACTTGTTAATTAGCTACATCTAACCATTATTATTTATATGCTTTGAAAGATCATGTTTTACATGATAAATACATACAAAAGCCCAAGTTCTTCCCCAGGCTGGCCACATTGACCTACTCTGATTAAAATAAGTATCTGGGGGCCAGTACTGTGGTAACAGCAGGTTAAACCCCTGCCTAAACACCGGCATCCCGCACGGGCACCAGTTTGAATACTGGCTGATTCAGCTCCCTGCTAAAGCACCTGGGAAAGCAGCGGAGGATGGCCCGAGTGCTTGGGCCCCTGCACTCTTGTGGGAGACTCAGAAGAAGCTCCTGACTCCTGGCTTCAGCCCGGTCCAGCCCCTGATGATGCGACCATTTGGGGAGTGAACCAGTGGATGGAAGATCTCTCTCTCTCTCTCTCTCTCTCTGTAACTCTGCCTTTCAAATAAATAAATATATCTTTACAAAATGTCTTCTGTGATTTCCATAGCCAAGACTCAGGACCTCTGTTCCGATTTCATGACGGAACTACGCCTGTACCCAGCTCCACCTGCTAGTTGGGCAAGTGTTAGTGGAGTGAGACTCTGGGATTCAAGCCCTGCTCTGCCCACAATAGTTGTGCGACCTCAGGAAACTGACACAGCCCCAGCTGGTGTAGGTGTCGGTCACCCGTAAAACCGCACTGACAGCCAGGAACCTTTAAAGAACCTGACACAGCGCCTGAGCCTTCATTAAACACCAACTGCTGAGGTCGTTGTTCTTAAATCCACTCGGAGGGGGCGCAGGTTCCTTGAAGATCAGGGCTGTCTGATGTCTTGGTGTCCTCCTGGCTCGTAAAACAGACTCAGTAAGTATTTTCTGGGGGCGGATTCAAGTCAGGAGTTAAAGCTCCTATTTAAAATCATTTCTTACTTTATAGAGATCCCAGCCTGCACCAAGTCCTTTGTTAAGTGCCAGGGGCACAGACTCGTGGGGGAGAGTCTCCCAGGCAGAGAGGTTCACTCCTGTATAAGAGGGACCTCAGCAGAGGCGTGCAGGGAGCAAGGGGAGCCCGGGATGCCCCTGTCTCTGCTGTAAAGCCAGCGGATCCACAGGCCCCCGCATCTGCTAAGATTTGGTTAAGCTCTTTTCATTGGGGAGGGACAGCCTCTCATTTGCAAGCTTTGTTCCCGCTGTGTCCTCAGTGCCTAGCACACTGACTGGCAGGCAGCTCGGACACAAGAGATGGTGAACGAGGCCGGTGCCGCGGCTCACTAGGCTAATCCTCCGCCTTGCGGCGCCAGCACAACGGGTTCTAGTCCCGGTC